TTTGGATAAATCCATTAAATGTTGGAAAAGTAGGTTGGTTCGGAAAAAAAAAAAACCTATAAGGGCAAAGTTGAAAAGTCTAACAATTTTTTAAATCTACTTAGTTTGGCTGGTCTTGCAAAATACTATACTATTAGACATTTTTTCAAACGGGTGTCCAAATTTGGCCGCCGCCCTTCATTTCCCCATGTAAAATACATAGGTGTAACATGGGCTTCAAAACRGGCCCAAAAAACAATAAACTGTGCCCAAATCAAATAATTTAACACATAATGTCTTGGATGAGCTATTTTGAAAACTTATTTTTACAAATGTTGCATATTTACAAATTTTACAGTTTTAGATTTCTTGATTTAAAACTTTTTTCAAATATCAAATTTGTCCTCATTTATGACATTTATATTTATTATAATTAATATTCCAAATTTGATTTTGTAACATTAAATTATTATAGGGCCTAAATCAATCATTCTCATAATCCCCTAATTCACTCGTTAATATATTATACCAAAGAATGAAATTTATTACAAAATATTCAATTATTCTGATAATCACTAAATTTACTTTTTAATATATTCTACTAAATAATGAAATTTATTACAAAATATTTTTTCATTTCATTACAATTTTGGCCAAATTTCAATAATATAGTCATTATAACATACRCTTGGATGGAGATATATATTAATTTATATTGAGATATAAACTATATCCGACAACCTTTTCATTTATATGGAAATATAAACTATATCCGGCTATAAACTTAAGCAACATATACTTAACAATGGTGATATAAACTATAGCTATTATAACATACACTTAACARTGGTGATATAAACTATAGTCATTATAACGTAYACTTATATGGAGATATAATATAAATYTGGCTATAAAGTATATACGACTATATCCCTCTACAATTAACAAACAAAGCGAATAAMCTACAAACCTTCCGGTCAGCGACTAAACAATGATCGGATAAACGGAGGGCTCGGATGGTCGACGGGCGGTCGGCRACAAAAAAAGAAACCTTGGAAACGGACGGAAACAATGGACGGGAGGCTAGAGACGAAAGAGAAGCTAAATGGACTGTTCCGACGATGAAAAAGAACCGAGACGGCGGYCGGAGACGAAGGAACGCAGAGGAAGAAGAGGAAAAATTCATACACCTTTGGTAAGCGAGAATATACAGACAAAGGAATGGACGGAAACATAACGACAGAGGAAGAAGAAAAGCCGGAGGAAGGAGGTTTTCGAATTTTGGGATTTGATATGTTTTACTTTTGGAAAGTCTAGTTAGGTAAAATTTAAGGGATTTAAAATTTAATTAATACTAAGGTGAGATATAAAATGATATATTAGTAAATTGGGTGATGGGTACCATCTTAAATGGTTGTTTCTTGACAAAATGTAAATTTTATACAATTCAATCATTTTGTGTAATTATATAGTCTCTAAATTTAAAATTTCAATTATTAATAATATGGAATCAGGAAGGCATGCCTTAGCTATTAATGAAATTCAAAGCTTAAATCATATAAAATTAAATGAATCATCSTGCCWGCAAAAATCTTTAGATTTAAATTTCGAATTCAATACAAAACCTAGATTCCCTCGATGACACTATATAAAGAGCATTTTAGCCACAATAGAGGACCTAATTTTGAAAGACGAAACATTTTAATATATATTCTCGCTTACCAAAGGTGTAAGAATTTTTCAATATACAATTTCAATTGTTTTTTTTTTCTTTTTTTAATTCAAATTTCAATTGTGTTGGAACTTAAGAGATTGAAAGGTAATATTTGTCTCATCACTACGTTCCATTGACTCAATTTAATGTTTTACATAAGCTCTATTTCTATTGCTATAAATATGTATTTAGATTTTAATTTTTTAACGTAAAGTAATTTTGTTGTTTCTTTAGAATAATAAAAGCATACATTTAAGAAAAATTATCTAAATTTTTTTTTTTTTGATTCCATGAATGAAAGAATACAATTTGGATTATTATTATACAATGTGCATATACTGATGGAAGGATTTCCTGAGTCTGAATAAATTATTCCACAGTCACCATGGCCATGGAGGACGAAACTTCAATTTGTGACCGAAAGCTCACCACCGTTTTGAGCATCGACGGCTGCGGCGATGGTGGCGGAATCAGAGGCCTCATTCCAGCCACCATCCTCACCTTCCTCGAGTCTGAGCTTCAAGTAATTAACGACTTAATTCATTAATTTGCCTTGTTTCATATGCATGTATAACTAATATTTACTTGAATTAATTTTTGATATGTTTGCAGAAACTCGACGACGAAGATGCAAGGATGGTAGATTACTTTGATGTGATTGTCGGAACGGGCACGGGTGGACTGGTGACCGCTATGTTGACGGTGCCAGATGAGAACAGGCGCCCATTGTTCTCCGCCAAAGACATCAGAGATTTCTACCTCGAACACGGTCTCAAAATCTTTTATGAGATAATATTAACGATGAATTAGTCATTTCTATCCACAATTCTTTTATGAGATAATAAACCTTATGTTAACGATGAATTTTTAAAAAATGAGAAATAATACTTTTGGATACAAAATAATATAAATATAATTTTATTATACAAAGTTGAAATATTATATTTAATAAAAATTGAGTTATTTGACTTCAATACGAATTGACAAAAATATTTTCAAAAAATGAAGATACTTTGAGAAAAATTAAAACTTTTAGAAAATTTCTAAATTGATCAAAATAAGTGGCTGTACTTTTTAGAGTCAAGATTATTAGGTCTAATCTTTCAAAAAAACAAAGAAAAAATTCGAACTAACCATCTAATCATGCAAAAATCATTGTATGCTAAGCTGAAAGCCGTTTCCAAAACAAATCAAAATCTCATAACAATATTTTTTGCTTTTTTTTTTGGAAAAAAAATCTTATTCTTTTAAATATACTTGACAAATGACATTTTTCCTTAAGTATTTATCTAATATCTAAGATGAAACTATGTATAGCAATTTTTTTAATTTATTTTTTTTATAGGATATAATTAAGTCTCCACGTGCTGGAATAAGTTTTGATAAAATCCGGGCATAATCGTGAATTTGAATTCAAATATTTTTATGCCAACTATTATCAAGAGGCTCTATAAATATTTGTAAGTAAAGGTGAGAAGGTGTCCGAACTTTGTGATTTTTTTAGCACATGGAACATTTCCGTACCAACAAAACTATCGGAGTGCTAACTTCCGAGAGATCCCGTCTTACTTAATATTTCCGGTAAAAACAGAATATTTAAAAATAAATATAGAAAATCATTATTGTTAATTTATTATTATTATTATTATTGTTATTATTTGATAAAATATAGAAAATTGCAGATTTTAAAATCTAAACAGAAGTGCATTACATCTGGACTGCGATTCTAATTTGAAATTCACAAAATTCGACTCCCAAATCTCATTGGTGTTGCTGTACCCGACTGTTGCGGAATGGATTGTGACCGTCCAATAACAACGCGTCATATAACCCACCGCCACGTCACCACGTGGAAGGAGGACGAGGACGGCGAGGCAAGTGACGGTGAACTCGGAGCAACAATACCCAGATCTTGTTCGTACGCGTGGACACCTGTACGGAATAAAATATTAATAGATCGCAGATTTTAATTAATTAACTATTAACTATTTAATTTAAAAAGGCAGTTACTTAGTTAGTCTAAGTGCTAAGTAGTAGTAGGTAAGTAACAAATCGACGGGGCCGTTAAGAAACGGAAAAAATGCGGGATTGAGATTAATTTCAAGGGCTTTCTAAAATAGTAAATTTTGAGTTAATTACAATCATGCCACTATCACCTCTTCAAACCTCACACTGTCTCACACTCTAATCTAATATGTTTATTTAATTGTTTACTTTGTTTCCTACCAAACTTTGACTAATGACAGATTTTGCCACTGTCATCTTTCTCCCGTTAATATTTTTATTTAGTTGTTTATTTCCAGTTAAATTTATAAAAATCATTTTTATGGCCCTTCCGCCCTATATCTCTAGATTTTAAAATCTCCTTATCGTCCATTTAATTAAACTTATTTTTTCTTCTCCATACAAAGTCCTCTACAACATTCGATACTGAAAACATATAAGAATTAATTTCTAAGACATGTGGTCATTGTGAGGTCTGAACACACACTCTCTCAATTTATCTTACACCAATGAACCGCCATGACCGTTAAATTATATATATAATTGGATACTAAACAGAAAATAGTAATTGATTATATTTTCTTGAGTCAAGTTTTCTCTATTTTGTAACCTGTTTTAAAAAACTCATGACCCTACTATCTAGTGAGTTTTCACTATTAAATCTTCGCTATTTCATCTTTTTTTTTGAAATCCAAATTATGCAATTGATAATTGAAAAAAAAATCACACTTAATAACTATTTCATTTAAAAATATATGTTCTTGATACTCTTATGTTATTTTATAATCCACTCCTTAAAGATACACTTGTTTTCAAATAATTCAAACTCATATAAAATTTTAGATAAAAATAATAAGGAAATACTTGAGTTGATAATGGTAATTGTAATTTGATTAGTACATTTATTATTCCAAAAACAAATTATCATCCCGAAATTATTCTATTTTTAAATCTCAATAGTCATTATGATAGATTAAAAATCATTAACAAGATCCCCGGAGGGAATATCTAGAATTATCCGATAGTTCTGGGATCATTTTATATATTTTCGAAAACATACGATATCGACACGTGTCCTCAAAAGAACAAGTTTTCCGTGTACAACACGATTCGCGTGCTGGGCGCAGTGTCACTGTACAAATATTCTCCAAAGGCGCAACGTATTTGACGGTAGTGGCAATTTCGTAATTAAAAGCCAGATTATGGGTTATTAAGTAAATTAAAATACAAGATTAGTATAATTTTATATTTATATATTTTTTTAAAGTTGAAGTGGATTTGGCGATTTTCGTGTCCCCAAATCCGTATGAAACAAACGTCCTCGTCCACTCGATGAACTCGTAAGACCCCTACCCACTCTCTCTCTAGTTTCTCTCTCTATCACGGACTTCACTTCTCACTCCTCTAGCCCACTCTCTCTCTCTCTAGAATCGTCTTCTTCATTCTTGAGAAACCAGGAATTGAGGGGAATTTGAGTTTTGTGTGTGCGTGGTGTGATCCGCCATGGCTGATGTGACCAAGTACCAGCCCATCAATGGCGGAAATCTGGTTTCAGACGTGAAGAGCCTCTTCTCCATTCTCAAGACCAGGAGAACCATGGCTTTTGCATATGGGTTCATGTTTGCTTTCGTTGTTTTCACTGCTTTTTTGGCGTTTAATCCTTCTACTACCACCACTTTTTCTCCTTCTTTCTCCAGTATTTTCGGCGGCGGCAACTCTGTTACCGGTAATTCTTCTGATGGGGCTTCTGGATCTCGGTACTCTTCTTTTTTTTCTTATTTTTTCCCCAATGGTTCGTTCGAGCAGAGCAATCGGGTGGTTCCTCCGCCGGCGCCGGAGGCTAATTTGTCTAGATCTAGTAATGCCACGGTTCAGCCTCCCGTCGTGGACACAGAGCCGCCGCGTGTGAAAAATCGTACGGAAGTTAATGGTGATCAAACGAAACGAACGGTGGTGCCGGAAAATCCACCGGCTGGAAATCAGACGCTAGGTTTGCCAGTTTCTCCTCCGACTGCAATTCAACCGCCGACCGACGCGGCGAAAAACGATGCTCAATCTACGCAAGTTTCCGAAGTTCCGAACTCAAATCAAACTAAATCGCTGCCGGCCAAAGCCCCTCCAGTGGCGGACGATCAGGTTAAGAGTTCGGGGCTGAAATCGATTCCGTCGCAGAATAGCAGTTCTAAGACAGAAGAGAAACAAGTTGCGGAGGGAACTTCGCCGGCGAATTACACGGCTCCATTGTCGAAGAAACAGAAAGGCGAGATGAGTCCTGATTCTGGCGAATCGGCAAAACAGAATGATTTAGAGTCTTTGAAGAATTGTGATTTTTTCGATGGAGAGTGGGTGCCGGATGATTCGTATCCACTTTACAAACCTGGTTCCTGTGGCCTTATTGATGAACAGTTCAATTGCCATCTGAATGGCCGACCTGATAAAAACCATCAGAAACTCAAATGGAAACCCAAGGGCTGTGATCTCCCAAGGTATGAACCAAAATTTTCAGTGAGTTCTGTTGATAGTTGAATTTTTTCTTTCCAGGTCTTGAGTAACTTTTACTGAATTGAATTTTGTAGTCTGGAATTTCTTGCTCCCTTTTTCTCTTTTAACTTTTCTTTCTGTATGTCGTGTATAGAAAACATGAAAAAGGAAAAAGAATATGTTTGTTCTTTTAGTCAGTTTGGAGGATTTGATGAATCCAAAGCAACCATTTGAAGCCTTCTGGGTTTTTGCTCTCTTAGCTATTCCTTCATCTTTATGTATCATTGCTAATCTAGTTTACTCTATCAAAATTGTGTCAAACATTGTTTGTAGCTCATTGTTAAGGGGCCAATAGTATTCATATGTACTCGGAACGATTGGTTTCCATAATTTAGCTCTCTAATTATGTGGCAATGTAGGTTGGATGGAGGTCGAATGTTGGATATGTTGAAGGGGAAGAGATTGGTTTTCGTGGGCGATTCACTGAATCGAAACATGTGGGAATCGCTTGTTTGTATATTAAGAAACTCGGTTAAAGATCAAAGCAAGGTGTTTGAGGCTCATGGAAGACAGGTATTCAGAGGGGAAGCAGCCTACTCTTTCATATTTAAGGTTGGTTATAGTGTCCTACTTGTTCTTGCAAAAGTATTGCTCTATATTTGTTGAATGTTTATTCATTTGATGTGTTTCCCTTTTGGTTTGGTTTGTATCGATCAATAGGATTATAACTGCACTGTAGAGTTCTTTGTGTCTCCTTTCTTAGTCCGTGAATCGGAGGTGCCGGACAAGAATGGTAAAAAGAAGGAAACATTGCGTCTTGATTTGGTCGGGAAATCCTCTGATCAATACAAAGGAGCTGATATAATCGTCTTCAACACCGGTCACTGGTGGACTCATGACAAAACTGCAAGAGGGTAAGTGTGAATTTGATTTGTTTTTCGAGTGAAATCCTGTTTTCCAAACCTTGGAGACGAAAGCAATAAGTATCATTTGGCAATGTTGAACGAACTGCAGGAAGGATTATTACCAAGAAGGAAGCCATGTTTATGAAGTATTGAACGTTCTTGAAGCGTTTCGGAAAGCTATAACAACGTGGGCGAGATGGGTCGATAGGAACATAAATCCAATGAAGTCCATTGTTTTTTTCCGGGGCTACTCTGCATCGCATTTCAGGTAAGCAAACGAACAAAAGACAGAGTAACTAAATGACAATCTATTTGCACATTGAAACAATCAAACTTCAGGTCATTGTTGAATGATGAATCAATTTTGTGTTTAACAGCGGAGGACAGTGGAACTCCGGTGGGCAATGCAGCAGCGAGACCGAGCCGATCAAGAACGAGACATTTCTGAAACGGTACCCGCCGAAGATGGTTGTACTGGAGAGGGTATTGAAAGGGATGAAAACCCATGTCACCTACCTCAACATTACGAAGATGACAGATTTTCGGAAGGACGGGCACCCTTCGATCTACCGAAAGCAAAACCTAACAGAAGAAGAGAGGAAATCGCCATTGAGATTCCAGGACTGCAGCCATTGGTGTCTTCCTGGTGTTCCTGATGCATGGAATGAGATTTTATTTGCAGAACTATTGCTGAAACAGCAACAGCAAACGAGAACATAGAGGTAAAAAGAAAGAAAAAGTGAAAGTACATAATTATTTATTGGGTTGAGCTCATATAAGTTTTAGAAGATTAGCCCTTTTTTTTCTTTCTTTTTGGGATTATAGAGAGAATCAAACAGCAAAGAAGTCAGATCCAAAGAATTTATATGTTTTTTTTTTCCTTCTATAATAATTTATGAGAGTAGGAAATAGAAAGGAAGTTTGTGTTCTTGAGGAAATCTGCTTGTGGTGAGATGAAATTAATCAGATTATGTTCATGTGAGAGAGAGGATGATTAAAGGATGCTTCCTGGTCAATTCCACAGTTGAAGTTACCATTTGTAAATTTTAAAATTATTTGTCATTTTTTATGTTATTTTTCCTTGAAATAATGCAATCCCTTATTCTGTGCTATTTTTCATCATGAAATTCCTTCTCTGTATTGAGTACGGTCCCTCTCTTTGTCTTTTTGTTAAAATATAATTTTAAAAGCTTAGAGACTAAATTTATAACTTAACCCAAAAAAAAAATTGTAGAATCTTTGGAGATCAAATTAAATATAAAGTAAATTGTGGGGACTATAATTATATTATAGCATTTTGGGTCTCAATTCTTTTACTAATTTTCAAACAGTCTTAACTCCCAAGTGTGACATTGTCAGTCATAGTCCTAATAAGTATGACAATGACTAAGAACTGCATGTGAAGATTAATTTAGAGAATTAATTATAGTGGTGGTGTTAATTACCCTTTTGACCTTTTCTCACATGGGACTTTCTTTTGAGCAACAAAGTACATATTGTTACAACACAAACTCAAGTTACACAAGCTAACTAAAAAACATCTCATACAATTAACTGAACTAACACTCATAAAAATCCCAATAGCTAATATCAAACTTTCATAAGAAAAGAAAACTCAATGGACTAATTAATGACGATATAAAAAAATAATATCGACTCCTTGCTTTGCTTGTTGGGGAATTGATCCATAAGTTGATAATTCCAAATCAAAAACCTACCAAACATCCCTCCATTTAAATTGATAGACACTAATAAGGGGGTGGGGTGGCCGTAGGCGTGGAGGGCATTAAAGAAATAGGCTTAGGATTTGGACCAATCAATTACAAGATTATTGCATTGAAAAATGTGTCCCCTAACATTTTTGTGTTTTGTAATTGACGCGGCTGTCGGCGATCGCTTTTAGGGCGGTCACCGTCACGCATCTTGTCGGCGAGTGCTCCTTTAATTATTCCATCTAATTATTATTTTATATTCCCATTCATTATTCACCCCTCCCTTTTTCGTCCAAATATATTACTTTGGAGTTAAAAGCTTCTATTTCATTTTCATGACATTCTCCATTTTTCAATTTCTTCTACTTTAATCAAATCCAATTCCAATTCAGTTGATTAAGGTACATCTCTCCATCATGGAGTGACTACAAAAAAA